GATATAGTTTAATTATGAAATTAGAGGGGAAAAGGAATTAAAAACACATAAATATGTTATTTAATACTCATGTATAATAAATCTTAGCAAACTAAAACAGAGAGCTTTCTTAAATAAATAAAATTTGACATTCTAAAAGCTTATTGTTGTTAGTTTGTACCATGGAGTTGGAAATAATCTATAGCTAACCCTCAGCAAGTTTTCAGAGGCAGTACATCATAAAAAAGAAGACTGTCCATCTTTTTCCTGTGAAGCAGCTGGTAGATTTGAACTATGTGCCTTCAGACTGGCAGCATATCTCTTTACCATTAGGTCACCGGAGTTAGTAAAAGCTTATAGCATACATCATATTTAATGGAGAAACTTTAAAATCAGGGATAAACTATAAAGGTTTTGTATCTAGTTTCTAATATTCTTTTTTTTTTTTGAGAGTGACCCTCAAGTAGGTACTCTTTTTGAAAATTTTTTTCTCATTATTTTTTGTGTGTGTACCGTCAAATTGGATCTGACTGGTACAGTAGGGGATTGCCCCTTCTTCTCCAGCAGAGCATCTGGTGGATTTGAATGGCTCACCTCCGGTATTGCAGTGTAGCTTCCTGCCACTAGGCCATCAGAGCTTGCCGGTTTCTAATATTCTTAACAACAGAATCTTTATTGCTTAGCTGGGCACTTGACTACCCAATAAAGATCATGTGGCTAAGTTCTGGCCAATGTGAAGTAACCAGAAATATCATATAAAGTTCCAAGAAGTGTTTTCAGAGGAAGAAGGAATATCCTTTTAGTTCTTTCTTCCTGTTGCCTAGAATACCATGTGCCAAGTATACCTGGACTATTTCCAGATTTCCTGTAAATGGAAAAAAGTTATATTATTATTCCTCAAGATTTGTCACAACTAGTCCAACCAAATATTAATTTGTACACTCAGTATCATGGAGATTATTTAAATAGTACTAAAAGTCCTGACCAAAGCTATAGATGAAGAAAAAAAACATAAGAAATGATAGGATTACAAGCAAAGATTGTTGAAATAGCAAATGATTTGTTATCTATATATTTAACACAATCAAAAATAAAAAAGATTGGAAAGAGGTAAAACTTGCCATTTGTATATAACATGATCAACTCTTAAAAAGATCTTAAGAATTATTAATGAATTAACAGGAAAGTTTGGCAGGGATAACTGTCAAACATCCACAGCTTTCCTCTACCTCAGTAATTACAAGCTTGGAAAAAGATAACGTAAAATGCCAACAAAATCTACTGAGATACTCAGGATTTACTTTAACAAAGAATATGCAAAAGCTTGGTTTTCTGATTTATTCAGATATTTATGCCCTTTAAATAAATTTTACAATATTCTAATAGAAGTAATGGGAATGTTCATCCATTATCAAGAATGTAACCAATGTCATTGAACAATCTGTGTAAATATGGCTGAATTATAAGTTAAACTGCTTTGTAAGCCTTCATTTAAAACAACAACAACAGCAGCAAAACAAAAACCCAGCAAAATACTACTTTTGTAAAAAAGATGCCACTGTGGACACAGTCTTTTCCTTATCCTAGACTTAATACATAGTAAAAGTGGCCTTTTGACTTTAATTCTTGATGAATGTTTTTCATAGAAGAATAATGCCTAAATTAACTTTGAAAAGCAAAAAAGGAGATATAGGCCAGTGGAGGAAATCAGATCACTCAAGAGAGATAGAGCAACACTTGAAATCAGATGATGTATCAGAAATCAATAAAGAATAGACTTTAGGAGATGGCTCTGTGAAAATGGTTCACCTTTATGGAGTGAAATAAAATCAGAACATACCTCATATATCCAAAAGTAGACTTTAGATGACCTGAGAGTGAAAGGCAAAACTACAGAAGGAAAGTAATCAATGATCTTAGGATAGGAAAAGAGGAGATTCTGAAAGCATGAACTATAAGCCAAAAAAACTGGTGAATTGCAGCACTACAAAAAACAGGTATCCGTTTTTTGAGGGATAAGGAAAATGCAATAGACTACCCCACTGCATCACTGGCAACAATCAGAAGCAAAATACACAGCAATTGAGATAGATTTAAAAGTATAGTGTTATAGTCCAGGAAATAATAAAAGTAAAGACTATACCCATTTGAATAAATTAAAATTACAAACATTTCTTGTTCTTTTGAAACAACACCTAGCAAACACAAAGAGTAGCAATCTACAATGATAGCAAATCAGGATAAAAAGGGGCCTTGTGCTAATCTATGAAGTAAACCTACCTTGAACTGGAAAGGATGACTAACTGAAAGTGCTTTAAAAGCAAAACAAAAACAAAAACCACCCCCCGAAAAAAACCCCAACAACCCAAAACCCTACCAACAACCACCACCCTAAAAAAAACCCAAAAAACCACACAAATAAAAACCAAGTAGTTTTACTATGTAAAGTCTGAATCACTACATTACCTAGTCTAATTCAGAAACTACCACAGTGTACTTTTAGTTCAAATTATAAAAAATGCCTTTCTTTTTTTTT